AAGCATTTGAGTGAATGGTTTATTTAAACTAAATAAATTATCAACGGAGATGCAGTTAATAATGGCCGTCTTGCCATTTTCGCAGTTAATGTCGATAATATTAATTTGCATAAATATTACTAATTGTTTGAGCGAATTTCACAATCGCATTTCTTAGATAGGTGTTATGCACTGCACACATTTATAAATGTATTTATACTTCGTATGCACGTCCTATCCGATTCGCTCACTCTTTATCTTATTATTATGTCCAAAACATTTATGTCACCGTCTGTAATCGAACGTTCTCCGACTAATGAATGCAATCAACTAACGCATATCATATTTATTTATGGTCGAATCGAACTCTTGATCTGTTGGTTAAGTATAACTTGTATATATCAATCAGCCCGATAATTATCGGTCCACATTTTTTTTCGTCATTACTTTATTGCTCAGCAATAAAGTTTTTAAAACTCTACAAATTCGCTGATACGTTTTGCACGTTTGCGTCATTTTCTCAAATACAAATCTTTTCGCAGACAGCAAGATCAACGATGACTGTTTACTGAAGCCCAATCTATGATAAACCAAAAGAAGCGCAAATAAAGAAATATCAGTCCACAAAACCGCAAAACGTAATATATTTTCGCGACAAGGTTTTTCCTCAACAAAACTTTTCCAAGCCAACTTATTGCTATATTCAAACTGAGGTTTCAATCGCGGTAACTACTGTATGGTGAGTAAGTGTAACGTTTATCAAAGCAAGTAAGTAAGCAAGTTAAGCGCTCTTATAATAAAACTGGTTTACAATCAGCAACAATAGCAAATATTTGAAGTACACGTCTCAATACAAACAAGCGTTATAACGTTAATCAGACTTTTAAGTAACGCTTCAAGACAACGAACAAAACGCTATTTGCGTAAATATAACATCTGATCGAATTTTTCTGCATAAATTTGCAGGCAAAAAAGGGAGTATATTGAAGCGAGTATGTATCAATAGCCGGATAGTGGGAAAATTTTTTGCGTGCAAGAATAACCTTTATTACACTCTGTTCTCGACAAGATAGCAAACTGTCGTTCGTTTTGATATGTCTCCTCGGCATGACGCTAAACTGCCGTTTGATCTACCACAATATGAGGGTTGACGCTTGCGGAGGTAGGCGGAAAGTTATAAGCATTGTACATAGTGGATAGAGTTTTTTGGCTTAATAATCGATAATGTATGAAATTGCAGTGGACCTGAACCACTCCACTTGCTTACAACGACGTATACGATCGTTCATATCTCTCTAGATTGGCGTAGTGGTTGCCCTCGGCATGACATTAAACTGCCGCTCTATACGCCACATGATGCTTACTGAAGTAAGCGAAAGTTATACGCAGTGCATATAGTAGATAAAGCCTTTAAATCACTTGTATATTAATTATACTTTTTTGATAAGTAAAGTTATTCCCGCTTGATGTGCTGCCATCTCAACGTGGTGAGCGAGTGACAACTTCTATGGACGACGGCTAAGCGTAGCATAAACACAGGTTTGTAAATGAGCTGAGGTTAATAGTTTAAGGTTGACTAGACATGCTTTTTTATCACTTTTGTAACGGTGATATTGTAGGCTAGATTCAAACTAAGCCGCGAGTATTATATACTATTTTACGCCATTCAGTTTACGTTCTTATGCGGGTGAGTGTTTTCCATGCGGTAGTTTAGGTTGCCATGAATTAACTAATCGATTATGTAATAATTATTGGAGTAATAGAAGCATAATTAGTAGTATTAGTTAAATTGAGGTCATGTATTTTCCAATATGTACAAGTGGCTCTCGATATAAATGTTTTTCTTATATCGGAAAGTTTCTTATATCGAGAGTCTCTCGTTATAAGACATTTCTTAATAAATTTATTTTGTATCAAACTTTATTTACGCTAGATATTTGTCTATAGTTACTTGCTTTTTACATTGAATACTGTCATTTACTACGTCTTTTTTAAAGCCCTCACTCTGTTGTATCAGTTTTGAAGTCAATTTGTATCGTCATATACCAAACTCGTTAGTAATGACAAATTTTTATCTAAATTCAGCCTTCAAATTTTTTATATACAAATTACTCTTTATATAATACAATGGGTTTACTCCACATTTGTGTTTACGTTTGCTCCGCCATAACAATAATGTTAATATTATACAAACCGGACTAATGTCGGCAAAATACTATCAAGCAATTTTTCTGGTAATAATGCTTGTACTTTATTAACAATATTGGACTTTTTTTGACGGCAAAAATTGATTATTTTCACTATACTATTTTATACACTATATTGTAACATTGACACTTTAACGAAAGGGTAAATTACATAATTTTTGATTTGTAGACAGCATCAGAAAAATATCACACAGCAAAGCATCTTCTTCGAATTAAATTGAGAAATTGCCCATGCATCTGTATCGCTAAATTGGTTCACCAGTGTAAGTAAACCAAAAATTTTTTACCAAAAATACACCTGTTTTCGGAATCATACTTCCGTTACGCCAAATGCTACCACTCATTTCTGCCAAGATTATGCGAAGTAACGTGGTACTAGATGTCTATAATTCTACGATCATCTCTCTAGTTGATAAAAGTTGCTGTTTACTTTTAAAAACTTCAAGCTTTGATGGAGACTAAACACTATTGTGCTAAACAGACGTTGATAAAAGCTCCGAACTTTTTTTTTGCCATATAGCGGCGTTTTTTTACTCATTCCACTTTCGACAGCGTCTATTATTGATGACTCTTATACATCTTACCAAGATTTATATGACGCAATTCTTAACACGCTTTTTCCAATTACGTTTGTCGTGCTGCTAAATGTCTCTGGAAAATCTGGGCCGACGAAAAACACGCTGTTACCACTGCTAGACGATGTATTGTACAATGTAGTTATTTGGGGTGTTCCATTAACAGCGTCCTTTGTCTATAACGACTCGGAGGCTGTAAAAATATTTTCAATTGGAAACATGTGTTTACATATAACTTGTGCGCTAATTGCATTAATCAAATGAAAACGAATTGCTGATATAGATGATAATACATACTCATCCTTTTATAGTCACATAACTATCTTCTTGGCAAGTTTTCCCCTTATGATAATTTCAGGATTCTAAGTCGGTTATGTTTTTGGAGTTCGGGTGTGTCTCATATTCTACAGCGCCGTGATTTTAATCGCAGTGGCGCTTTACTTTATTTTAAAAAAGATACCCCTTGCAATACTTTTTATTTTTCTCGCAAGCAGTTTTTATATTCCAAGCATTTTGCAAATATTATGGATTTTGTTAAAGTGGCCAATTAACTTTTATTTTGTAAAAACATGCGTTTTTGTATTAGTTGTCTTTAACTAGAAACATTTCTTACTTTACTGACGAGATACCGGAGAATTTTTTGGCAACTTCAACAGCAGTAGCTCAATTAAGATTTCGTATGTGGTTAGAAATGATGAGACAAGCAGGTGAAAATAATTAAAATTAACGTAGTATGAATATATATTTATTTAGTTTATTAGTAAAACGTACATCAGAAAATTTTTATTTAATCAAGATTTCTGTAATTTGTAACATACAAATATTATTTTTGTTCTAATACAAATGTCAAACCAAGGGTTAATTACGTAGACTTTTTTTTTGTCAGCAACAAAAAATAGACAATTATTGCATTATCGTATTGACTTCTAATAAAGAAATCCAAAATAATTATTTACCTACCCACAAATTGCGGGCATACACCATTCCTTCTAGGTGGCTATATCAATAATTATTATTTATTGTGTGTTTTTTACTGCTTAATTAGTAAAAAGTGAAGTTTTATTTTAAAAGTAGTTTTTACTAACGCCAAGTCACATACTTTTATTCCAACACGACCGTGTGACGCCCCCGTGCATGTAGTTTACAATACTGAAGCTGGATCAGCAAAATTACCTATTCCGTCAAAACGGACGTTACGATTATATGTTAATAGCTTAGGCTTCGATTCCACTCGTCAACATTATCAATGGAACAATTGTGTTTGTCTATTCGAAATCTAACTTACCAGTTTGAAAAATAAAGACCTTGCAAAAAAAATAAACTTTAACTTTGTACGAACACTTTTTTGCGTACATTACCCGACATGTTAAAATGCTGATATTGAAAAGGTAATCTTAAACTTTAAATCCCACGTAAGACCCAAGCTAGTTTCTTTATGTGATAGCTATGCCATGCCATGCCATTTAAAAGTTTCCATTTACACTTATTTAAACAGTAAATAAAGCGTAAATTAAAATGTCACATTTTGCACAAAGGTAGGTTAAGTTGGCATTTAAACAATTGTTTAAGAACACTACAATCACAAAAAAGTTTTACTACATGTCTTATTATTAACATTGACATAATTATCAGTTGTTCTTACTGATTCGAATTTAGAGTAAGACATAAAGACTAGTTAGACAATACAATAATTTTGAATTAATAATTCAGTTGGACAAGAAACTTCTAAGATGCAATTTTCTGCCAATAAATATCGGAAATGTTACTGTAACCATTTGACCTTGAAGCTGTAGGCAACAGGATGTCAAATGCCTGCAGGTACATGTCCTACGAATGCCATATTAACATTGCCTGCAGGGACGTGTCCCACCACCGTCATATTTGTTACATCGACAGTGCCTGATTCTTGCGAATTCTGTGGATATTCGATCTTAAACGACACTAAAAACAAAATTATGATAATCATTACAGCCGCAGGTATAGCCTGATAGGGTTTGTGATTAAGTAATGCTGGTCCATGGAATATCAAACTCACGAATATAAAGAAAAGTCTAATTAAATTCAACGCAAATAATAACGCTTTCGTTGAATTATCTTTTCTGTAATAGTAATGGTATATCAACCGAGCCGCAACAAATATAACGACCGACATTCTGATTGCAAAAAGCACCATCAAAGTTACGTTATAGGCAGTAAGGTTATCCCACAGCGGACTAAATAGTAATGCCAATTAAGTAAACTACATATAAAAGCAAAGTAAATATTTTAATACGAAGCAAGTAACTGTGACAGACATATGACACTGAATACAATAAAGTTACCCCAGAAAACCAAACGAGAGTCAACAAAATTGTGCCAAAAATAACATCGAAACCACTAAATTGTGTTCGCTTTAGTGTATATAATATCAATGTCAATATCATCATTCTCAGCAATTGATAAGCTATTGGTCCAATATAATAGAGATTGTCGTCTTTGTAATTAAATATAGTGTGTTTCTTGTTATCATACGTAATGGTCGTTAAAGCCCAGGTTAGTGCCATTCCATTGATTAAGAGTTTATAGATAGCTAAGCCTCGGTCTTGGTTCTTTACGATATAGAAGACCGTAATCCCTACGCAAATACCGGCAATCTAATAAATTAATATAATATAAATCTAACTCATATTTCGTTAAAATTTGAATTGATAAACTCTTTATCTACCGTTGCTACCGCCTTCAAACTATTGACAACTTTCACTACTTCCGGGTTGGTGTTTACCATTTTGCAGTAAAAGAAACTATTTGATATTAATCTATCGTTTTAAATACAGATACCATATGTCACAATATTTACTATTGTATAACATTTGTCTTTTGTTCAACTGTAAACACAGCATTGTTTCGAAATATGGAAGCGTTGGTGTTCCGACATAATTAATTAGTTTATTAATTAATAATCTGTTGTGGATGTACAGTGCCCTCTCAAAAGTCATGGACCACCCTGTCGATCAATTAGTAAAACATATGAAAAATCTATCTTTTCGGAATCCAGTATTGGCGTTATTTACTAAGTAAACAACAAAAAATTTTATATCGCTGTGAAGCTAATTGACTGTAGTTTTCGAACTAAACACTCATGAATTTGAACAAGTTGTTGTAATGGAGCTGTTATTCGCCAAAGTGACGAGACATATGTTACACATATGTAAATCATATAAAATGTATGTATAACATATATCTCGTCACTTTGGCGGATAACAGCTCCATTACAACAACTTGTTCAAATTTATGAGTATTTAGTTCGAAAACTACAGTCAATTAGCTTCACAACGATATAA